CCTCACAATAGGTGAGGAAAAGATACTACTTTTTCTCCCTTATACCACCCAAGCGAACCACTCCAAGAACAGTTCATGTGCAGGTGACCATATCGTTCAAGTCATTATTAAATCCAAAGCTGAGGAGCCATGATGCTGTTGGTAGAACTGCCCTTGACCAAGAGAAATCCATCTTGATTGTCTCACTAATCGGCTCAGGGGCCATTGAGGATGAGGTCCTAAATTTAATTCCTAATAAAACCCCTAAAGTTTTAGAGGCAAAATGAGAAAGCATAGCTCACAAATACCTTCTGATTAATGACTTGGAAAGTATATTTGTAATTTGTTCCAAAGACCTGAAATTAGTGTGAACTTAAAAAGAAAAGTGGCATCCATTAGGACCAAGGTGAAGTTGACAAAATGAAAATTATTTTTATCTTATCAAAAGGCTACTTCTGAATGGAGCCTCCTGACAAAGCAGAAGTCTGGTTGGTACTTGAACCAGATAAACTTGTTATGCAAATAGCTTTAGTCATAGGGGAAAGGGCTGATAATGAAATCTCTACAAAGCCAACCACACATTATAGAGGTGACAAAACACATCAAGCAGGGTCCTAGCATATGGATAAAAAGCAGTGCAGAATTTATGTGAACATTGCATTTAATTTATCATAACTAAGCTGTCAGGAATCATGCTTTGACAAATGCATAACTAATAAGTATAAATGAATCAATTATCACTAACAACCAAAGGTTCAGAACCAAACAGGCTGATGCTTCTTTTAAAATGCCCCAAACAGGTTTACTAAAAGTATTTTAGACTTTTAGATGTTTTAAAAAATCTCTCCTACTATCTCCAAATTAAGGAGGCTGGAAATAAATGTGAAACACACTAAGCCACATCCCCAGTGCTCCTGCTTTCCTACCTCCCTGGCCCTCCTACATGCCTATGCACGTGCACACACAAACACCCCTGTCCCCTGTCTACATAGCTATAATCACGAGGCTGCAGCCAGACCAGCTTGTTCAGATCCCTGCAGCAGTCAACACAGAATCTTTTGGTGGGTAGTGACCAGCATGGACTAAAAAAGACCTAGAGTATTGAATCGAGTCTGTTACGGCTCAGCAGTCACATAAGGACAAAGTATTAAACTTAAAGCCGTTAAGGAACTTTTAGTCCTATTTATTCTTTAAAGAGAAACAATTAGATTTACTGTGGCTTGGTCTACAAAGGGAACTGAAGCAATTATCTGTATAATTCAGGTTAAAAGAAATTTTTCCTAAAATTACCAGATAATCATCTTCTCCAGCCCAGTCCCTCCAATAATGAAAAGCTTATAATCTGAAGGTCTTAATCCTCCATCTTTCTTTCTCTTGCCTCCTAATACAAGCAAGATAAGTATAAAAACAAACTAAGCCTCTCTCTTTAAACAGACATTTCAAAACCAGTGAGTATCATTGTTTATATTGAATTAGAGATCTGAATAAATATAATGAATGGTATTTGGTCAAACTGCATTTGATAGGCTGAGTAACAGCAGCCTAGTGTCAGCAGTCTCCCCTATGAAATGAGAGGATATTATCTGGGGCTGGGCTCAGTGGCTCACACCTGTAATCCCAGCACTTTGGGAGGCTGAGGTGGGCAGATCACTTGAGGTCAGGAGTTTGAGACCAACCTGGCCAACATGGTGAAACCCCGTCTCTGCTAAAAATACAAAAACTAACTGGTCCCGGTGGCCCACAGCTGTAATTCCAGCTACACGGGCAGCTGAGGCACAAGAATCACTTGATCCCAGGAGGCCAAGGTTACAGTGAGCCAAGATCATGCCACTGCACTCCAGCCTGGGCAACACAGTGAGACTGTCTCAAAAAAAAAAAGAAAAAAGAAAGTATATTATTTGGGAATGGTGGGCAGGCTTCTATTTAAAGATATGTAATATAATATTCAGTCCCCAATTTTGAGAAATATTCCCAAAAATATTGCAGAAGAATTTATGGTTGAAGAACCTAAGATGTTATGGGAAAGCAGGATTGGAGGGCTGAGGTGAATAAGGAATCTATGAACACCTACTATATAAAATTTTCAGTAATAAAAAACTGTAAAGACAACTCATTAAACAAAAAGAAGACTGATGACATATTTCCATCTTAAACTAGGAATAAACCACATAATCACTTAATTTCTAATTGCCTTCCTGATTCATTATAAACTTTCCAGACTCTCCCTCCCCCGCAATTTCAACAGGATGCTTTTTGCTTTGCTCCTGATAGTATGCAAATTCAAAGGCATTGTTTTCTGTGTTTAGCCCTCCATTCTAGTATTCAAGACCCTTTGCAACTCAGAATGAGTGCATCTGAAATTCTCAGAATTGGGAAAAACATAGCAGATCTGAATTGGCGTATAATAGGATTTGCCATAAGGAACCATCAGTGTTAGGGAGGAATTTCTGCATAGTTGACCCTTGAACAACATGGATTTGAACTGCACGGATGCACTTACACGTGGATTTTCTTCCACCTCTGCTAACCCTGAGACAGCGGAACCAACCCCTCCTCTTCCTCCTCCTCAGCCTATTCAACGTGAAAAAGATGAAGACAAAGACCTTTATGATGATCCACTTCCAAGTAATGAACAGTAAACACATTTCTCTTCCTTATGACTTTCCTAATAACATTTTGTTTTCTCTAGCTTACTTTATTGTAAGAATACAGTATATAAAACATATAACATATAAAATATGTATTAATCAACAGTTTATGTTATCGGCACGGCTTCCAGTCAACAGTAAGCTATCAGTAGTTAAGATTTTGGAGAGTCAAAAGTTATAGGCAATGTTTGACTTCACAAGGTGGGGGGTAGTCAGCACCCCTAACCCCTGCATTGTTTAAGAGTCAACTGCATTGTGTGTAGTCCAACCCCTGTCATCAATTATGTACCTTTATTCTCAAATCCATCCAAGGAATACTGTGCTTAGTTTATGATTACAAACATACTCTTGAAAAAGAATACATAAGCCAAAGTTTTGTGAGTCTAATCACATTTTTAGAGGCATCAGGAGAGTTTGGTATGGGAAGCTGTATTAGTGAATATGTAATGGATTTTTCTAGGACAACGGCTTAGACAAGGTCAGTCAAGGGTATCTCTGTGCAGCAATGAAATGAAAAGGAAAAATCTCTGGATCCAGCCTTTACCAGCAAAATCACTGGAACCTTAGCTCCCAGATTTCTTTCCTTGGGGTGGTCCGAAATGTGGTCCCGAGCTACCAGCATGTCTTCAGCTCTTTAGTTTTCTCTGCCTAGTCTTTTGGGTCCCAAACCTCTGGAAGTGGCTCTTCCACTGCTCTTATGTGAGCATTATTCCTCCTACAAGTATCTGTTTTTCCTCTCAACATGGCCTGACACCATCACCTTTGACTTGTGGCTGCTCCTAGTGCATTCTGCAGCCAGGGCAAAAATGTCAATGTGGGGCTGAAGGGGCAACGAGATACCCTCCACCCCTGGCTTTCAACTTCATGGTCATGTTCCAACACAGACTTTCTTAGTAGGGTTCTTTGAGTTCTTTTCCACTCCCCTTTCCTGAGGAACTTGGTAAAAGTTCAGGAGGGATGGGACAAGCAAACGAATTCAGGGACCCTCAACTATACTATATTTGAAATGAAAATGAAAATGAAATACAGGTTCATAGCTGGTTGCACAAACCCCATGGAGTCAAATGTATTTTGGAATTCAGAATTCTATCGAATTTTAGAAAGGTAAACTGGTACATTTACTGTATATTAGGTAACAGCCCCAGCAGGATCTGGGGCAGCACACTACAATCAAACAAATACATCTGCCGCCAAACACATGAATATTCACATTAAGTAAGATAAATAACAACTATAAATAGCCTCACAGTTAACCAAATCAGTTCACGTAAGGTTAGGTTTTGCTGTTAAATGACTCGACTACAAAATAACTTTTATCTTTTGGAGCTCCTTGGATTTTGGAATTATGGATAAGTGATTGTTGATCTGTATTGTGATTTATTAAGGAAGATGATCAAAAGACCCACTTTGCTTTATTGCCTGGCTTCTTTGTGAAAGCTAAGTTTGCACAGAGGCATAAATTAGAAAAATTTGTGTTGACCCTTCCCTGCTTCTTGTTTATCAGCTATTTTGGTCACTTCTTTTCTCCTCCCATGACCTCTGAACACCTTGTTTGATATGCTAGATCCCCTAGTACTTCTTCCAAGCTCCTGTGCCTTGGTACGATTGGTAATGCCTGGTCTAGATTCCTGTCCCCACAATTCACCAGGCCCCTAGCTTGGGGTCTTGTAACCCCCTCCAGTAGTCTGAGTATCTTTCTCACATTTAGGACTGGTGTGGTCCAAAAGCTCATGACCCCAGCACTGAGCCACTGTTGGTTTCGCTGTTGATTCTACTCCTGTCTGAGTCCCAGTAATTCTTGCCTAGTGACATAGCTCCTACCAGGTATGTCACACCATCAGCCTGGCCTTCATTTTGTTCCTCATACCTTCACAGCCTTGGCTGGGATACCTTACCTTGGTACCCCAGGCCTGAGATTCTACTTTGCCCCTCAGTCATCTTGGAAACTGTACCCTTGTTCCCAAGCCACAGATCCTAGAGCAAGCCCAACTTTCACACTGCAAAAACTCTGTTGGAGGCTGCTACCTTCTGCCTTCTCTTTAGTCCCAGTGTGGGCATCGGATTTTTAGATGTTTCATCTCTTCCCATTAAACATGACAAGTTGTCAATATCTGCCCTAGGACAAAGTAGGTTCTCAGATAAATGTGATCCATATGATAAGAAGGACTTATTATAATTGAGAGTCAAATGGAATGCCTTACCTTTCACATCTTGCAAAGGGATGTTCTATCATTTACTAAAACAAACCCTAAGTCATAATGTGCTAACAGGCATAACAACCTCTAGTGCCAAGTAAATTCCACAGCCTAGATTTCTCCGATCACTGATCAAGGCCTTGCTGGATATGCAATTTTTAGTGGAAGAAATACTCACTGTGAAATAAAGTGGTTGAATTCTTCACACCATTTTTCTGGATGAAGTAAAGTCGGTGGAGGATTTCTGAAAAAACAGCAGCAATTTTTTCTTTAAAAAGAAGAGTTTCATTAAAGGCAAAATATCAACTTGTTTTTATTGATATCATTCTAAACAGCTCTAATAAAATCTGTTTGTTCTCATATGAGAGTCATTTGTTAGTGGTGGATTATAAAGTGCCAACCCCTATTCCTGTAGTCATTCATTTTCATTGACTGAAGACCTACTATGTCCCTGGCTTTCTCAGGACCTGTGAAAGTTAAAAAGATCAGGAACATTCTTCCAGAAGCAGACACACTAATGAGGGGTGAGGCAAGCGCACAAACTACTATAACAGAACTGAGGATTATTAGTGCTATAAGAAAGCTATAAACATAGTGCCAGGGGCTTTAGTGAAATAGACTTTCAATTGTACAGGATTTTCAGATCATTATGGTACTATTTGAATTAATTATGTGATGCATTTAAAGTATACTCATAAATTCATAGTCACATTTTTAACTATTTCCTATGTATCAACTTCTGCAACAAGCGCTGGAGAAAGGCAAACAGTCAAAACAATGCCCCAGACTCTGTGAAGTTCATGGGTAGAGAAGGAGACAGACATATACCATACCTAATAATTGGAGGTCCAAGAGAATGAGAGAATGGCAGAAAGAACCTTAGATAACCAGACCACCTCCTGGTGAGAGGGCAAAAAAAAAGGGGGGTGAGGGATGGGGGAAGAGCCCTGAATTTGATTGAATACCCCAAAGAGATCTGATTTTAAAACAGAAGTGGCATTACCTTTAACTGATGAGACTTTTTTCTAGCAATACATGGAAATAGGGGCTTGTGGGCAACTCAAGTTCAGAAAATGAAGAAAGTGACAGTTCTGCACACCTGAATTATGGCTGTAAATTTTAAAGCCATCACATGTGATCCTTGTTTTTACCTGGATTCCAACTGCTTCCTAAAGCCATGGATTGCTCAGATTCAATAGGCAGAGAAATGGGAAGCAGCAAGAATTACCAGAAATAAATATATATCAGATAATGTGACCACAAGCTGTCCCTCGACATCCATTATCTTCTCATTTCTTATGGTGCAATTTTTAATAGAGCATACTGCTGCCATAATAAAGATTACACTTTCTTGAGTTCCTTATGGCTAGATGTGGTTCTGTGACCGAGTTCTAGTCAACAATTTATAAATAGAATTATTATATGGTATTTCCAGAAAGTCTCCTCAAAAGAGGGGAGACATGACATTCTTCCCCTTCCCCCTTCTTTCTTTTTAGAGCGTGGGTATGATGGCTGGAGCTTGAGCAGCCATTGAGGACATCAGATGAACTCGAAAATGAAAACTGTGAGCTGAGTCTGACAAAGCAAACAGATAGAAAACTGGATTCATAATGACATTGCAAAGCTGCCATACCAGCTTTACTCTGCTTCCCCCTGATCTTCCTTTATAAGAGAGAAATAGTCTTCCGTTTTCTTCAGGCCACTAGTACATGCAGCTGAGTCTAATCCTCAGTGAGATAACCTTTCCGAGTATTTTCCTACCATATGATGAGAACATAATATGATAAGTGACATACTAGAAGCACAAGCATGGTGTGTGGGTAGAATAATTAAGGTGCTACTTACTCCATCTAGGGAGTCCCAAAATACTTTATAAAGAAGATAAACTTGAACTGGCTCCTGAAAATTAGAGTGGATTTTTCAAGATACAGAAGGAGAGTGAAGCTATTTTAGGCTCAGAAAACAACATGTGCCAAGACAGAGGGACATAAAAAAGCGTAGTAAGTCCAAAAAAAGTAACTTTGAGGCTAGACTATATATGATCTTTTGGATCTGAAGAGAGAGCAGCAGGGAAGGATAAGGTGAGGAGGAAGAATGATTAGAGGAAGGAGATGATTTATCTGTTCTGTATATGAATTTAGTTACCCTTCACATCTTATAATTCAAAAACCAGTAAATTATCTGTGTATGTCCCAGAAAGAATAGCAGTTAATTTCTTCCCCCCTTCTCCTGGATCAGAGACAAAGGAGGAGGCTGCCTCTTTATCTCATTCACTCCATTCAACAATATATGCCTTCATCTTTCCCTAGTACCATCACATAACTTCAGCTTCAATCCTAGTTTGGCTCAGCAGTTCTTACTGCCTGTGGCTATCTGAGGTTTTACATCCACATGCCCTGCCAGCTCACCTCTGTGGGCAGCTTTGGTGCTGTATCTTTCAGTGAGTCGGTTATCCTAGATCATCTCTACAGCACTTCCCAGGATTTGTACTTCCCTTGATCTTCTCAGGTTAACTGATCATTCTGTTCCCACTGTGGGAGGTCAGTCCCACAGAGAAGAGCTGCTTAAGCAATCTATTGTCTAATAGACTTAATTCACCTCCAAAGCAGTTCACTGTGACTAAGTCATTTATAGACAGATTGAACAGATTTGACTGAAATGACACTAGTAGGCTAAACACTGGCCAGCCCAGCAGGGAAGGGGCATCGCTCTTCCATAAGCAGAGAGTGACCTGGCAAGGGTCCAGTGAGAAATAGATGGTGAATATCCACTTTAATATAGAGAACAATATACCTTCCTGTTTTCAGTCTCTTTCTCCACAGGAAATATGCACAGGGGGTACTGTTTAGTTATTGGCCTGAGGAGAATGGCAGCAAACCACCACTCACCCAGGTCACCACCAACCCTCTATGGCTTCACATAACCATCACACAAGGAAACATCTTCTTTGGAGCCCAGCATCATAGAAAGTTGGTTAAGAGAACCTCATTTGATCCTGTAAATGTCCTGCCTTTCCTGGAGTTCATCCTACTTTGGTTCAGTAAAGCAAGATCTTGTGAAAGATTATTATCTGTACATAATGAAAACCAAATGAATTTGAAGACTTTGCAGTACTTTGTTTGGACTGGCAATATAAATTCTAATTCTCTCACAACCCAGAAAGAACACCAGTGAAGGGAAACCATGTAGGTTATTCTTGTTTCATTTGTGAGTGCTTCTCCCTCTTTTGCAGTTAGAACATTATCGACCCCAGAATCCTGTTCTTCTCCCTATTCTCTTCCCATTCCATACATTCACTGAGGGCTTACTGTATGCTGACAGCTTCCTAACATGCCTTGATTTCTTGTCTGCCTTTTAGCTGATGCATCTGACTACTTACTAGATGGTTGCATTTTAATTTCCCAGAGATATCTTAAGGTCAACATGTTCAAAACCAAACATCTTCCTTTTTTTTTTTTTTTTTTTTTTTTTCTGTACATAATGAAACTCAAATGAATTTGAAGACTTTGCAGTACTTTATTGGACTGCAATATAAATTTAATTCTCTCACAACCCAGAAAGAACACTCAGTGAAGGGAAACCATGTAGGTTATTCTTGTTTCCATTTTAGAGTGCTTTCCTCTTTTGCAGTTAGAAATATCAGACCTGGTCCTGTCTTTCTCCTTATTCTCTTCCCCATTCCATGCATTCACTGAGGGCTTACTGTATGCTGACAGCTCTCTAACATGCCTTGATTTCTTGTCTGCCTTTTTAGCTGATGCATCTGATCACTTACTAGATGGTTACCTTAATTTCAGAGATATCTTAAGGTCAACATGTTCAAACCAAACATCTTCCTCTTTTTTTTTTTTTTTTTTTTTTTTTTTTTTTTGAGACGGAGTTTCACTCTTGTTGCCCAGGTTGGAGTGCAATGGCACGATCTCAGCCCACCACAACCTCCACCTCCCAGGTTCAAGCGATTCTCCTGCCTCAGCCTCCCTAGTAGCTGGGATTATAGGCATGTGCCACCATGTCCAGCTAATGTGTATTTTTAGTAGAGACAGGATTTCTCCATGTTGGTCAGGCTGCTCTCGAACCTCCCGACCTCAGGTGATCCACCCACGTCGGCCTCCCAAAGTGCTGGGATTACAGGCATGAGACACTGTGCCCGGCCACATCTTCCTTTCTTAAGGCTGCATTCCATCCGGTTGTTGAAGTCAGAAACCTGGATTCTACATTCTCCTACTTCCAGTTAGAGCATACAGAATAATGGCTCCCTCAAAGATGTCCACATTCTAACCCTCAGAACCTATTAATATTCTACTTTATATGGCAAAGGGACTTTATTTATGTAATTAAGGTAAAGGTCCTGGAGACAGGGAGGTTGTCTTGAATTACCTGGATGGGCCCAACTTAATCACATGAGTCTTTTAAAGTGGAAGAGGGAGGAAGAAAGAAAAAAGAAGAGTCAGGAGAGATTCAACTTATGAAAGGGACTTAACCCGTCATTGCTGCCTTTGAAAATGGAGGAAGTGGCCATGAGCCAAGGAATGCAGGCAGCATCTGGAAGATGGAAATGGGCCTCAGCTGATACCTAGCAAAGAAATGAGAACCTCAATTCTATAGAAGCAAGGAAATGAACTCTGCTAATAACCTTAATGAGCTAGAAAATAAATTTCCCCTAAGGCTTAAGAAAGGAGTACAGCCCTACTGATACCTTGATGTTAGCCCACTGAGACCCATGGCAGACTTCTAACTTAAAGAACCATAAGATAATAAATTTGTGTTGTTTTCAGCCTCTAAGTTTGTGGTGATTTGTTATGATAGTAATAGAAAACTAATATACCAATCAAATGTCAAGTCTTCTCAGTTCTACTTCCTAAATCCCTTACTCATAACCTGTCCCCTCTTTCACATCCTAGTCCAGTCACTCATCATCTCATACCCATACTACTCCAGTGGCCTCCTTGTTTTTCTCCTTCCCTCTACCTCACACCCCTCTAATCCATCTTGTACTTGGTACCTAGAATTTCTTTATAACATACAAATATGACCTCGTTGTTTCATTGCTCAAAATTCTTCAGCAGATGCACACTGCCAGAATGATAAAATGTTAACCCCTTTGCATGATATATACAAATGGTCTTGCCTATCACCTACCTGTCTACTTGATTTCATCTTAAACCACTTGCTCGCCAGATGCCATAGCACTGTGCTGCATAGTACTTGTGGCTCCAAAACAGGTCCTATTCTTTCATGCCTCAG